GATTGAATCAATATCTGCAAAATTGGTTAGGTGGACTGTATATCAAGCTACATAGAAAATCTACAGTAGGAAATACAATATAGGAAGCATACACCTAATTCAGAGTTTAACATATCAGCAATACCTTTGGATGCATAACTGCACTAAGGACAAAGATTTTATGGGAGAGGCAATAAAGTTGAGACAGAGATTACACAGAAAGAGATATAAAGAAGATCAAATTGTTAATCAAAGCTTTTTAGAGAGATAAGAATGCTTATCATACAAATAAGAAAGTCCCTTCTTGACATACCTACAAAAATAAGGAAAATGCTGACAGTTACATCATTAGAATTATCTCCACATTTTCAAGTAACACAAGGGATTGAGTTACATTTTGAGAAGGCAATGATACCTCCTAATTTTTTCTTGTCACCTATAGAAAAGCGTAATCTCTCAAAGATATCTTAATATCCAGTGAATATGTTAGGAAGAGAAAGAAGCACTGTTGCAAATATCCAGATACAGACCCTTGTCATAATGTCCGTGACGTCACCGGATCTTCAACGGGACTCCCGGAAGCCGGCGGAGAGGTGAGTATTTTCATTAGCGATCAAAAGCATTTTAATCAAACATTTTAACGATTAATCGCGGAATTATTCGTTAATTTCCGCAGCCCTAATCTACATACAGTATATATATAGAGATCTATACACATATACATCTCTATATATATTGTGACGTTGGGGTGATTAGCACAAATGGTGAGCGCTTAAGGAACAGTCTTGAAGCCGTTTTAAACATAAACAGGACAGTCTTTTATTTCATTCAACAACAGAAAACAAAGCTTCAACGATATTACAAGGTCTGCTTGTATTTCAGCAAAACTAAAGGTATGGCAATCTCACCACTCCAGGTTGTTGCACATACTCCTTGTGTCCCAGTCCCTGGACATTAGGGTATTTCTTAACAGTGCCACAGTCCACCTCTCGTGGCACTCTTAAACACATCCCTCATGTGTCACTGGCTCTCTGTCTCCTCGGCTGTCTTCAAGGTGCCTCCAGCACACACAGCCACCTGGCTCTACTCTGACATCTGGGTGGAGTCCTCCTGACTCCTGAACACCTCTGTTCCTCTTCCCACTGGAGCCCAGAACATTAGCCAGCACCCTTCCAATAAGTGCCGTGCACAGGTGTGCAATTAGGTGCTGGCTACTATTAAACAATGGACCCAGAAATGGAGATTTCATCCCTCCCAATTGGGTTTTATTGCTATATAATGTTTTACCTTTTTATTCCCTTAGGGCCCATGATGCATACTACTGCATTCTGTTGCAGTGCGCTCATGCTCACATGTTAACATATGTTATGGCATGCATTTTGGTGGATTACATTAAGGCATCCCATTCATTATCAATGAGCTGCCAACCTACCACAACAGATGAAAAAAATTGTGCATGTGCAATAGAAGATCACAACATATGGCATACTATAGGTAGTGAAATGTGGTGCGTTAGGATCTACTCTACAATGATCTGGGGTGCCATTCAGAATAAATGGCACTCCGACATGCACAAAGGTGTGCTGTCATGCATTGTGAAAACGCGCAATAACACGTGTTTTGGTCTTGGCTGGAAGCTGGTTGGTTTTCATGGGCAGCGGCTCTAGATTCTGTCTGGTCCATTTTTGATAAAGTCTCCTAAATTATTTTACTAAAAATACTCTAACATTCTTTCTAACAACCAATAACTAGTTCATTTTATTTTGTTTACATAGCTATGGAGACTAAGAACAAAGCCAGGTAAAAATGGAAATGGCTTGGCGATCTCCCAATGCCATCCAGGAAACACTGCTAAAGTCCACTTGTTTGGCTATGCTACATTCTAACTATTAGAACGCTGGTCACTGATCAAACAAAATCTGCAGACTTTTCATTGATTTGGTTTTAGGACTCAGAAGAAAGCATAAGGGAAGAATTCATAAAGTATAAAGTATACATACATTGCATTATGTGACTGCATATTATGGACTGCAAGCTAACCAGACACAGGAAGTGCTTATTTTCTGTTCTATAGTGAACAATTCATAATTTCTCATTACATAGAGGACCGGCAGAATTGATGCTGTCATGTGCAGCGGTTCTAGGAAAATAAACTGACCTTTATTTCTGCTAAGCTGTCTTTCTGAAGATCAGTATGATTTTTATAAATGTGCTATCAACTGAATTCTAAGGACAAGTCTCTGAAGAACAAGCTACATACAAAGTCCACTCTGCTCCTCATTTTCTAAAAAAGATCACTTCATCTGGGATAGGTCAGTAATGGTATATATTTTATATTTATAGTTTTTGTTTCCCAACTGAAACAGAGAGTGGCTTTATAATCCCACTTCAGATAACATGTATAGAAAGTAGGGTTGCACAGATACTTTTCGAGTACCAGTGCAGATACTTGGCATTTTCATGAGAACTACCAGGGTTGCAGTGGTTGCAGCTGGGACCTGGCTCTGGCACTCCACCACTGTCCTGAAATAATTAGTCTGCATTGTTTTAGAAAAACTGTCACATGACAATAAACAAAAATGTATCAGTACTCGTACTTGTAAGTACTCGTACTCGCAAAACTGGTATCTGTGCATCCCTTTATTTATATTTATAAAAACAAAATCGTACATTAAAACAGAGATGTACAAATCCCAGGAGCTCCGTGTGCTCCTTACCAATGACAGCTGCCTCCTAACTTTTGCATTTTTCTCTAGTGTAGTCTTGGAGCTCAAAAGTATCGGTACATGTACTCGTACTTGTACCGAGTACTGTACTTGGTATCTGTGCAACCCTAATAGAAAGTGTACAAAATATACAAATAAAAATGAAATATATGCTGCGTTTTCACCTCCTTTTTCTAAATCAGGATAAGCACCTTTTTTAGGCTGCTAAATGTGGAATATTTTTTTTTGTTTAAATTTACTCAAGTGTACATCATCAATCAAGTCCCTGTAAAATTAAAATAGAAAACTTAATTGTAATCACCCATTAAAAGTCCACAAAAACATCAAATTAAAACATTTGTGCAACCTAATCTTCATATATATTTAAAGCTATAGTTCACCTTTCCACTAAAATAACCAATGCATTCAAGCATCCCCACTTAAATAAAATCCACTATGCAGGTTGTGCAAAAGAAGATTGTTTTCCATGGCATACCTGTAGGCTGCCCTCATTATCTTTGAAGCCTGTCTTAAAAACTTCTATGCTGATAGACCTTCCCCGGCCATCGGAAGTGTGTGTCCAACCAGTGGCGTCACAATCATCCCAGTCTTAGTCTGTAGGGTTCAATATTGAGTTGGCCCACCCTTTGCCACTATGACAGCTGCAACTCTTCTGGGAATGCTGTCCACAAGGTTTAGGAGAGTTTCTATGGGAATGTTTGACCATTCTTCCAGAAGTGCATTTGGAGGAGAACACCTGGCTCGCAGTCTCCGCTCTAATTCATCCCAAAGGTGTTCTATCGGGTTGAGGTGCAGGCCAGTCAAGTTCCTCCACCCCAAACTCCCTCATCCATGTCTTTATGGACCCTGCTTTGTGCACTGGTGTGCAGTCATGTTGGAACAGGAAGGGGCCATCCCCAAAATGTTCCCACAAAGTTGGGAGCATTAAATTGTCCAAAATGTCTTGGCATGCTCATGGATAAGAGTTGGAACTAAAGGGGCCAAGCCCAACCCTTGAAAAACCCCACACCATAATCTCCCCTCCACCAAACGTTACACTTGGCACAATGCAGTCAGGTAAGTACCGTTCTCCTGGCAACCGCCAAACCTAGACACGTCCATCAGATTGCCAGGCAGAAAAGTGTGATTTGTCACTCCAGAGAACATGTCTCCACTTCTCTAGAGTCCAGTGGTGGCATGCTTTATACCACTGCATCTGACGCTTTGCATTGCACTTGGTGATGTAAGGCTTGGATGCAGCTGCTCGGTCATGTAAACTCTTACGTTGTTTACCCATATCTTCAGAAAAAAATCACTTCTACTCTCGTAATAGCTGCTTTAGGTTAAGAAAAATTTGATGTCACATACATTGCATGTCGGTATTATAGTGATAATATTTTTTCTCTATTGGAGGCCTCCCTTGGTGTTATGGATTAGGTACAATGTAGGTATGTTTAGGGTAGGTGATAGGTTTAGAGAGTAGTTGGCTTTAGATTAGGCTTAATTTAATCTGAGGTCTAGGCATAAGCACTTGGTTTGGGATAACAGTGTGTTTAGTTACTATTACATTTGAGTTAAGCAATACATTCCTTTTCCAAGGTGTTGTTTTAAAAAAAAAAGTTTTTTCTAGATGTGCTGGGACTGCAAAAAGGTATCAATTAAAAATAATTCACTCACATAAAAGATCAAGTAATATTAAATATTATTGTTTAGGCAGTACCTACAAAAAAACTAAAGGGAAACTCTCCTATTATACAGGTAAATCAAGCTACTATGTTACTGTGATACATACAGATTTTTCCACCTTTCCTTCCAATTTCCCAGCACTAATAAAACAGAAAGTTGACAAAGTTTTTTTTTTTTTTTTTAATCATTGCACTGCACCAGGTTGAAAGCCTGCAGAGAGTAAAAGGAGACAGCTGTATATTACTTGAGCCCTGAGAGAGTTGTGTCACTCCGCTCAACAGCCTTGTTGCATCCGTTTCCCTTAGTTCCCCAGCTGAATTTGACAAAAAGGGTCTAAATGGAGCCTGATATGAAAAAGATTGACTTTAAATGCTAAACATTATTGATTTACCATTAGGTCTCAAAAGACTTTTAACAAATGATAATTTTTCTCTGATAGTAGTCAGTCCTTTACTTATTTTTATTTTGTATCACTCCTCATTGCTCCAAACGCATTGCTTACAACAACATCATGGAAATTTACACCAGAATTATTATTCAGTGTTTGTCCAAAACAACCTGGATTTTCGTTTCAACAAATATTTTTGAAGCATTTTCATTTCTTGCAATGGCCTTGCTTGCACTGATTACCTGAAATTGTACTTGCTGATTGATGTCAGACACGTAGAACTGCTTCAGGAAGATCTGGTTTTCACTCCAGAACAAGCGGATGTCAGGAATACCGTAAAGAATCATGGCCAGCCTCTCTAATCCGAGACCAAATGCCCATCCAATTTTGTCATGAGCACCAGCTGCAATCAAAAACAAGAAGAAAATCCAGGAGCTTAGTGTGAAAGATATCAAATAAAATATTTATAGTGTCTCCAGTGGATGAACTGAAGAAACAGCAAAATCTGTCAGTAATTGCCATCTGATGGTTCTAAAAGTTATGTAAACAAAAGACTGAAACCAATCAGAAGAGAAGGCTCGCATACTAATAAATGTCCAGAGTTTTCCTAACCTTTGAAGTAATATTACCTATTGCATGACTATATGGTTCCTTCAAAAACAGGATAAGGAGGGAAATCGTCCCAACAGGGACACAAATAGCAATGAAAAATTGCCAAAGGATCTAGCTCTTATCATTCTACAAAAAAAAATGTTGCTTCAACTATCTGTGGCCTTCATAGAGGGAAATGCACTTCCCGTTTTGGTGACCACCAGTCATTGGAAGGGAAATTGGGAGCAGACTCCCAAACACAGACAAAGCAAGCATACTGAAAAAAAGTGTTGCTTTTTCTTGCCGATGGGGGAGATCTGCACTTCCTCTCCTGGTGATCACCAGTCACTGGAACAGTAAAGTGGCAGAAAAACTTCCCGACAGTGACATTTGTATCTGTGGCCTTGAATGGGAGATTTGCTTATACTTCAAGTCCTGGTGGCCACCTGTCACCAGAACAGGAAGTGGGGGGAAATCTACCTAACAAGGTCACAAACAGCAATAAAAACCTGACAGAGAATCTGACTCTTCCCCACTCTATTAAAAAAAAAAAAAAGTTTTGACTGGAGTTGCAGTTAAAGTTGTCAGTTTCAAAGCACAATTTGTTTTATTTTGCAAATGTATTTTTCATCTTATCTTTACTTTTACAGTTGTTGTATACACAACGACCCATCATAATTAGTTTACTTTAAACTAATAGAATCATGCTGAAAGCATAATGTTCCCATTTTAAGCTTCTCAGATTGATTTTATTCCCTTAATTGGGTTTCCATGCTGTTTGGTAGCAGAACCGTACATGAAAAAGGTGAAATAAGGACACGGATTTGTGTGATGGGGTGAATATATAAATAGTGATTTAGACTTTACACAGACCAGACATTTACTTTTACCACCTTTTCATCCAAAAAAAGTGTTCTTGTCTTTGTCTTTCTCAGTGATATGACAAGAACCTTCAACTAGATCAGAGGAATTATGAGTTCAGGAAGGCGGCATTTACAAAAGGATTTTAAGACAAGATGATATAATCCAAGTTCAGAGAAAAGGGTAGCACAAGCATAATTTTTTACAGACTCTAGTTTAATACAACAGCAATGCAGCTCTGTGCTAGATCTAATTAAAACACATTCACATACAGCAAGCACATTTAGGCCCCATTCACACCAGATTCTTGCATTGCGTTGCGATCCGTTTTTTAAAGGATGCTAATGCAAGGGGCACCGAAAAATGTATGGGTATGAATGGGACCAGTTCACACCACTGCGATCTGTTGCGTTCCATTGCAGTGCAATGAAAAAAAAAGTCGAGCATGCTCTACTATTTTTCAGCGCAACGTGAGGTAACATAACAAAAACAGATGTAATTGCAATGGAACGGAAGAAAATACATAGATTATTGTCCACTCAGGACATGTTAATAAAATAAAGATTGACAGAAGATTTGCAGGGAGAAAAAAAATCAGGAAAAAAAACTGGAAGCCAACGGAGGTTGAAATTGCCCCCCCCTTCCCTCTTCTTTCCACTTCTGGACATTGGTGACTAAACTCAGCAAGGGTATTATAGAGGGTAGAAGGTAGAGTGGATATTGAGAGGAGACTCTTTATTGTTCAGAAATGTTAAACCATATCTCATTTCTTTATCTAGTGATCTGTACAGATGAAATATAGCTCTGCATATAAAGCAGACAGCAGCTGCTTTCGATACTGTGGCCTAGCATTAGTGTCTACCACAATAATTACAATCCCAGGGGGAGAGCTTAGACAAAAAGCCATTATCATTTGCCTAGGGACATGATGTCCAAATAAGATCATGGATTAAAGCGGAAGTAAATGCTCAATAAAATAAAAATTTTAAAAAGGGGGTCCTAGGAGCTTTTAGGAATAATGTGCTAGTATTAACAGCTTATTAACACATTATGGCAGACTTAGCTGCCAAACTGATCCCCTTAACCACTGCATTTCTCCCTGACTGGCACTGCCATCTATTTTCTCTTCTTCCAAGGTTTGAGTCTTTGGCTGCTTGATTGGCTGGGCCCAAATTACGTAAGTCCCGCGCATGCACATGGGGGTTGCTTTTTTCCTTTTCAGCATGTCTGGTCTATGCACCGAACTACCCGTGCGTGACTCCGTGCACAGCAAAAAAAATACTGAATGGCAGCAAGGAGCCTTTATGGCAGAGGAGACTTACACCGTGTCTTCTGACATATAAAGTCTGCTGATTTTTTTAAGCTTATGTCAACTCTAAGTATAATCTATACTTTGCATCAGAGCTTATTCATTTTGAAGAAATACTCAAAATATTCATAAAAATATAAAAAGAATTGTAAAAATGCTCACTATGTCGCCCAGAAGAAGGCACCCTGCATGGGCCCAAAACGTTGGCTGTTTGACGCATGTGACAATTGAATAAAAAGTGTTTTACTTCTTGCACATATCATCAAGTGCTGGTGACTTCTATTATGGACTGTATCTGACACGGCGCCACCCGTGTTGTCACCTCAGGCACCAACCTCTTACTCAAGGTCTGTACGCTGCATGGGAGTGCAGGTTATTTCGTATTATTGTTCACTGAAAACCACTCGGTTATCGCGCGGTTTTCAATGCATAGAGATGTCTATGGGATCCAAACCGCCCGAAAATCGCTCTGGCACCTTTTCACGCGACAGACAATTTCGTCCGCACGACAAACCGCAAAGGTGTGAACAGACTCCATTGACTTATATGTGAATCTGTGTTTTGCGGTGTGTGAACCTAGCCTCAGGGAGATCGCACAAAACAGAGATTTGCATTCAAGTCTATGGAAGCTGTTCACACCTTTGCATTTTGTCACGCGGTAGAAATCGTTTGTCGCACAAAAAGGTACAGGAGCGATTTTCGGGCGGATGTCGCGCGATTTGGGTCCCATAGACTTCTCTATGCATTGAAAACCGTGCGGTTTTCAAAGCAAAATAATGTGAACAGAAACACGCGACAACCACATGAAAACAGCTCACCAGCTCAGTCGCTTAGGTGTGAACCTAGCCTTAAGTAGGAACATTTTGCTAGAAATACAAAAACAGTCTAGGCAACAGGTCCTAGCAATGAAAATGTTATCAGGAAAACACAGCATACATGTAACTCTTCCAAAGGCCTTTGCTGTTTTGGTACTGAGCTTCTCATCATTTACATGCCTTGTTATTACAGCAGTATTACATGAGGTAGGCCAAACTATAGGTATAATTACAGAGGCACACAACACTGTGTTCAATAGAATATTACAAATCTAATGGCCTTCTTCAGAAGAATATAGGGACCACATTTACCGTAACATGAGGCAGACCGGGCTTGAAGCTAAATGCTGGCTACGTAGCTATATGTATAGATGAACTACATAAATGTAATCATTTAAAGCTTATATTGCATATGCAGGGTGGGCAAATTCCATTTTCTCTACTGCATAGCCATCAGTCTCCTGACCATATAATGATGGAAGAGCTGCTCATTTATGAGGTTATCCCTATAATCTAATTCCAGATTTGCGCTTCAATCCTAACCCTGTGAAAGCTGCAGTAAAAGAAGTAAATAAACTATTTCCAATTACATAACCAAAGTGACACACCGTGCTAAAAAATAAAATAACAAATATATATGCAACAAAATAATCACAAAATATTAGCTGCAAAAGTGAATAACAAAACTAATTGCAACAAAGTCCAATGTGCTCCGTGATAATCTTCTCCAAAATGTCCCAATAAGTGCAAAAAAATCCACAAAAAGACACGCGCTTCCAGTGACAAGTTCACAGCTACAGAAACATCCGTCTTCATACTGCACTCACCAAGGATGACAGACCGTATAGCAAATGGTTAAAAAACACTCCTTAAAATGTTCGATCTTTCCACCATAGAGAGGCAATATATCGTTAGAGCACTTCTCTTCTCCACACCATATATAAGGCATGTTGTTGGTATTGACGAAATGCATCGGTGAAGTGTACACGCTGACGTCACCACGTCTGTCATGGGGACCAGGAAGAGTCAGACTTGTCTGTGTACCTGGCCGGCTTGGATTAATGGGGAGCAAAGCACATGAATTTGGTACATAGAATTTTACACAGCGCTGTGGATCATTGTTGATGTGAGTTTTTAACACTTGCTATTAAAGATTAGTTAAAATAAATTACACTATGTAGTTCTTATCTTTTGCTGGGGTCTTGCCTGCCTATGGCGGAAAGCTCGAACTTTATAAGGAGCGTTTTTTGACCATTTGCTACATGGTCTGTCATCTCTGGTGAGTGCGGTATCAAGACGCGTGTTTCTGTAGCAGTGAATTTATCACTGGGAGCACGTGTTCTTTTGTGCAGCACAACGTGTGGATTTTATTGCACTTATTTGGACATTTGGAGAAGATTATTAGGAAGCACATTGGACTTTGTTGCAGTTAGTTTTGTTATTTACTTTTACAGCTAATATTTTGTATTTATTTAGTTGCATATATATTTATTACATTTTTTATTGCGGTGTCACTTTGGAATTGGTCTCGGGGCACAGCCTCTTTGTCGCGTTTCGAGGCGCAGCCTCTTTGTCAAGCCCGGAATTGACCAATTCCAGGCTTGACAAAGAGGCTGCGCCTCGAAACGCGTAGCTGCCAGTTAGAGAGATCTCTTCATTTACATCGCTCCCCGGCCCTACTTTATGCCAATTTATTGTGACGGTCTGTCACTACAGCCGCGGACCCACAGCATTGAACAAGCGCTCTGTATTCAGAGCGGTTCGGCACTCACACTCCCCGTTTTTCTGCCGCCATGGCACAGCCTGTGCAGACGACGGACACAGCTC